AGAAGGGAGGAGTCAAAAAAGATGTTTATTTCTGGTTTTTCAGACAGCCTGGCCTTTTGCACCTGGAGCCTCCTGACCTTAGGCTGGTGTAGTTTTCTTCCTACCTTGTGTTGTTTGAGATCTTAATGTGTACCCAGAGCTTGGAACTTGCACACATATGTAAGCCAGATCAAGGCCCTAGATGACAGAAGCTTGCACTTTTCAGGAAGGCCACTGTCCCTGGCTGAGGGTCACTTGTGTGGATGAGGCTGCAGGGAGAAGGGTGGAAGCTGGCTTCGGGAGGCAGTGGGGATGTCTGTGGGCTGATCACCACTCGGGGTGATCTCTGCTGTGACCTGCATGCACCCAGTTCTTCCCACTTGCTTCCTCCCACCCACCTACCTGCCCCTTGGCCATATTGCCCCTGGCCAGGCCAAGTTTGCTTTAATGGTTCGTGGCTGCAGCGGCAGTTACAGCAGAGCGACCCAGGATGAGGCGCCAAGGAGCACGAAGTTGTGACACACTAGTCTGCAGCCATGCTTGCCGCGGCTGCAAAGCACAGATGCGCCCTGGGAGCAGCGCCAGCAGTGGGCGGTGGTCTGCTCCCTCCTGCCTGTGCAGACGTTGCAGGCTTCTTCGAGCATCTGTGCATGGCGTCTGCATCGGGGTGACAAAAGCAAGGGCTAGTTTCTCACATACACCACCCCCCATCATGGCGGGAGGCCTGCGGCACTCAGAGAGACTTCCAGAGACAGGTGTTCCTGCACAGGCAGGTGAGTATGTTGGCAGGACAGCTTGGTGTGATGGTGTACGAAGCACGGTTTCACTTTTTTTGAGGGGCGGATTTTAGTGTTCTGTTTTTTAAAAAATGATTTCACTTCCTTCTGCTAGTTTAGAAACTCCTCATTGCACAGAAGGCCACCTGATATAAGCTAGAGTGCAGAAGCTGTTCTAAGTTAGTAAAAGGATACTAAATAACTTGTCTAGAAAAACAAGGAAACACTTCTGGCAGTCAAACCCAGGCACCTTCAGGTACGGTGGTGCAGCCCTGCTGCGGTGTGGCCTGCAGTTTCACTTTCACATTTCTGTCTCACCTTTCACCTTTAGAGTTGTTGGTAAGCAGGGTGGCAGCGTGGTGGCTGGAGACAGGGCCAGGCAGGAGGCGGACGAGGGGCTGTCTTCGCTGCAGAATCCTGTCTGCACTGGTCATTGGGCCAGTAGTGGCCACGGCTGCACTATCACTGCATCTAGACGAGGTGTGGGGCTGCTTGTGACACAGCGGTAATGCGATGCTCAAGAGAAACTGGGCCGCACCTGATGATCCTGGTTTGAAACCCCAGCTCCGCCAGCCTGAGACATTCTGGACACACGCGCGAATGCCTAAGTCCTGGAGCGCTGGAGGGAGGGGTTCACAGCATGACCGCCCCGTGGAAGGTGCTCACCTCTTGCTCTGTCTCTCCCCCTCCCACACGTGCATGCACATACCCTACTGTGAATCAGAGGTACATGGCACTGAGCACTCCCTCCAGCTGCAGCATGGGTGAGCGGT